AAAGGCGGCAGAAGGGTTGTTTCAGTGGGCAGCCGTTGCATGCGGGCTGATAAATAATCCTCCTCCTAGCTTTGGATTTAACAGGAAAAAGGTGATACAGCGTCTGTTGGGACACTCACGAGGTCGCGATGGACGTGATCCGTTGGACCAGCTTTACAGAGAAGTCCTGGAAGCATACTTCGAACCGGTTGAGGCACGGACACTATTTCGGTCTGTGATGGGACAGCTTTTCGCTGCAATGATGCCGCTTTCCATCCGTTCATTGACTATTCTGCGACAACATGCACCCAAGGATGACCTCGAGGTTCCTGATCCCGAGGACTCTGATCCAGACGATTCTGATCCTGAGGATTCTGATTGCGTTGCTGAGATGCTCCGTCACCTTGGCTCACTGCTCAGTAATGTGACCTCATCCGACGACACCCTCCCGATCGTTCCTCTCCATACCTCATTTCGTGACTTCCTTGCCAATGAGAGGAGTGGGACATATCATATCGACCTTGGCAGGGCTCACCGTCAGCTGGCATATTCCTGCCTTGGATTAATGCTCAATGACCTCAAATTCAACATTTGCAAACTGGAAACGTCATACCTTGCTAACAGGGACGTGCCAGATCTCGAATCTCGAATTTCCAAATATATTCCACCTGCTCTATCATATGCGTGCGTTTTCTGGGGAGATCATTTAGAACGCCTTGGTATCGAACAGGACCTCTTTCCAATACTTCGATCGCTGTTCGAGACTAGATTCCTTTTTTGGCTGGAAGTGCTCAGCATCAAGAACAGCGTCAGTCTTGCATCACGAGCATTGGGATCTCTGAACACATGGTTGCGGTCTGATCAGCAGAAAGTAGGTGGCTCTTATCATGGTTGTTCCTCATGTAGTAACTATTAGGTATAGCAATCATTCCAACCAGAGGTTGAGAATCTGTCCTTCTTTGTGGATGATGCGTTCGCTTTCGTACGGTATTTCGGGATGGCGATATCAAGAAGCGTCCCGCATATATATATATCTGCTCTCCCTTTCGCGCCATCCTCTTCCCGCATCGTCGAGCGCCATCTTCACCAATTCCCCCACACATTGTTTTTGAAGCGAGGACAGTTGTCTGATTGGCCAGCATTGGAAATGACAATTCAAGCGCATGACGGAGTCGTCGAGTCTGTTGTATTCTCACCAGATGGGCAACGGATCGCATCAGCCTCGCGAGATTGCACGATTCGGGTGTGGGATGCTACAACAGGGGAAATTGTAGCGGGGCCTTTTACTGGACACAGCAAAGATGTGTTCTCTGTCGCATTTTCGCCTGACGGGAAACGCATCGCCTCGGCCTCGGAGGACTGCACGATTCGGGTGTGGGATGCTGCAACAGGAGAGGTCGTAGCGGGACCATTTACTGGACACACGGGTTGGATTAGATGCGTGGAATTCTCACCGAACGGGAAACACATCGCCTCTGCCTCCGACGATCGCACTATCCGTGTTTGGGATGCCGCAACTGGAGAGGTCGTAGCAGGCCCGTTTATTGGACACATCGACCAGGTCTTTTGTGTTACATTCTCAAGAGACGGGCAACGTATCGCCTCTGCTTCTAAAGATTGCACGATTCGCATGTGGGATGCTGCAACCGGAGAGGTCGTAGCGGGCCCGTTTACTGGACACACCGACCGGGTTGACTGTGTGGTATTCTCACCGGATGGGAAGCGCGTCGCTTCGGCCTCTGATGATCGCACGATTCGTATGTGGGATTCCGCAACAGGAGAGGTCGTAGCAGGCCCGTTTATTGGACACGCCGGTTCTATCTACTCTATTGCATTTTTTCCGGACGGGAAATGCATCACCTCCGCCTCGACAGATTGCACGATTTGCGTTTGGGACTCGGCAACAGGGCAGATCGTAGCAGGACCATTAACTGGACATACCGACACGATATCTTCCGTTGCACTCTCTCCGGACGGGGAGCGCATTGCATCGGCCTCGTACGATCACACAGTCTGCGTATGGCATCCCAGAAAAGGAGAGGCAAGAGGTTCAGTTACTGGACATACCCAATCGATCTTTACTGTTGCAATCTCACCAGAGGGGCAACTGATAGCCTCGGCCTCTGCAGATTGCACAGTTTGTGTGTGGGATGCCGCAACAGGAGAGCTCACAGCAGGTCCGTTTACTGGTCACACCGATTGGGTCATTTTTGTTGCTTTCTCGCCCGAAGGGAAGCGGGTCGCCTCGGCCTCGGGAGATCGCACGATTCGTGTGTGGGATACCATGACAGGGAATATTGCAGCGGGCCCGTTTACCGGACATACCGATATTGTCTACTCTGTTGCATTCTCGCCGGACGGACAACGCATCGCGTCGAGCTCGGAAGATCGCACGATTCGTGTGTGGGATGCCATAACTGGAGAAGTTGTAGTGGGCCCCTGTACTGGACACACTGAGGGTGTCTGCTCTGTTGCATTCTCGCCGGACGGGAAGCGCATCGCGTCTGCCTCGGATGATGGCATGATTGTATGGGATGCTGCGACAGGAGAGGCCGTAGCAGGCCCGTTTACTGGTCACACTGAAGGGGTCACATTTGTTGCATTTTCACCTGACGGGCAGCGACTTGCCTCAGCCTCGTTCGATGGCACGATTCGTGTGTGGGGTTCTGCGTCAGGACAAGTGCTAGTAGGCCCATTTACTGGACACGCGGATTCCGTTAGGACCGTTGGATTTTCACCGGACGGGCGGTGCATTGTGTCTGCCTCGGATGACCGCACGATTCGCTTGTGGGACTCTGCAACAGGGGTGGCCATAGCAGGCCCATTTATTGGACATACTGAGTGGGCCCGCTTTGCCACATTCTCACCAGACGGGCAGCAGGTCGTTTCAGCATCGGATGATTGCACAATTCGCATGTGGGATGCCACAACAAAACAGGATGTTGCGAGCTCGTCTACCGGACTCACTCAATCAACCAATTCTGGTGCGTCTACTCTGAATGGGCAGCTTATCGCCTCAACCTTACGAGATGACGCGATTCATGTAGGGAAGCTCAGAGCAGAGAAAGATCACTTCATGGAGAAGTTCCCGGTCAATAGTGATGGATGGATGTATGGAGAAGATAAGGAACTCCTATTGTGGATCCCTCCCGTTCACCGTCCATACATTCATAAAGCCAACACAGTCTGGGTTGCTGGCAAGGATAGAACGGAGGTAGATCTCTCAAAATTTGTGTATGGATTAAATTGGTCTATGGTATACGTTCACAGGTCACCTAAATAGTTACAGGTATATATGAAAACTCCGGTTAGTGTATCTTTCGAATCCAGTTAGCACCAGCGAGTACTGTGTGAGGTTTGATCAATTTGATCAGTAGAGTCGTCTTTTCAATATTAGATCAGGTCCTAGCATTTGGGTCATTGCATTAAAACCCACGACATTCGTAAAGCGGTTAGACGCTTGTTCTCAGTTTACTGACTTTCCGCGGAGTACTTGGACCATTGTCCAAAATCTCTCAGTCTCAGATGGACCGGGTTTTGTCTCTTGCTCAGGTTCCCTCTTTCGCGCTGAAGTGGCTGAGAGCACCGAGTATTTTGTCCGAGGCAATATTTTCCGGCTTGCGGAAGATACTGTAGCTGTCCAAAAACATCCAGAGATACAACGGTGTAAGATTGATATGCTTACAGTGACCCAACTTTCGCCATGCTAACCAATAACACTTAGTTGTCCACTCCCAAGTCTCGGATCTGGTCCACTCTAGAAGCCCTGCATGGAAAAAGGTGAGCAAGGTTCAATCCTTAGCCGTCTTGTATATTGATTATTTGAGGGGCGAATTGCACTGCGCCCGAGCCAGTTCTTCCATGTATCACGCAGTTCTGTGGCCACACTGGCGAGCCGCCTGCGGCGGCAGCTCCAACGGGTGCTCTTGAGGCAATAGCATCAGAATGTTGAGGGACGCCAAGTGTTAGTGTCATGGAGTACAATCTACGTGCGGTACAGAATCGACAAAGAGCGTATCGTGTACGTGTCAGTGCGACAACTGCAATTTTTATTTGGACGACTCGACGACGACATCAGGAATTAACAATCGAGTGGCTAGAGGAACGAAAGGTAAGGGTGACCGCAGAAGAAATGAGTGGTGGCACCACGCACCTAGCGCTCCTCTCCTTCCTACCCTTCCGCAGAGCCAACCCTTATTCTTCTAAAGGCTTATGAAACGCGCCATGTGGCCCCCAAGTTTCTGAGAACACATCTTCGTTGAGATATCAGTGAACGAAGTGCTCGGAGCATAGAAAGTCAAAGTTACGGCCTAGCGGACCCACACGTCAAAAATGAGAGCTGTCTCGGACAGCAAGCAGACTGTAAGCAGCTAGCCATGAGGACGGGATTGCCATCAGAGATGTATGCGGATAGTTTGATGGACATGTCACCTGCAATCTTGAGGCCTGTAGGACACGGGCCAACGAACCGGAGGGGTGGTGCCAGTCTTAAGGATGGAGGCCATGAACAGGAAAGTGGATCACGTGTATGCACGTTGACACGTACAAGCTCTTCTCTGATCGAGTTTGAGAAGTCGCAAAAACAACCGAATAGGGTGGTACGTATTTTAATAATCAAATCTCTTATCGTTCCTTAGAGCGGGGAAGAGAGATGTTGGAAATCAACTCCGAGCGAGACAGGAATTTCGGCCGAGGTAAATGACTCCAGATTTGGCTATTTAATAGGGTAGTTCAAAGCTGGGCGCATACGCATAACGCGTTTCGCATACCGCATACAGAGTTAGTTACATAACATAAAATTGAGAGTCCGCTTGTCACTCAGGCCAGATGACGCAAAACTCAGCCCTGGCAGCAAGGAAACCCCAAGTTCCCCAACCCTAGTCATTGAAATCTCATATTTATGCACACATCCATATATGGCTGATTTCGGTTTCATGTTAGTCATCAGAGTGGGGTTCCCACTTTCTTCTGGTAGCGCTAAAACTTGTAGATTTATACAACAGATATTGCGCCGGATACCCGGCAGCATGGATCAGCGGTTAGAATGTCCGACCTGCATTTTTCCGTCTTGGGAGTGGCCTGGGTTCAAATCCGTGTGTGTCAAATTTATTAAATAACATGTAGCTTGTCTTATTGTACATAAAACAGTTACTTGACGTCTAAGTTGGAGAATTGATGATGTATATATGCAATAAAGGGAATTCAGAGAGCACATCACCCTTTTTTTGATTGAGAGTTGTTATCGCGATCACCAGAACCAGATCTAGCAATGTAGTGATGATTACATACGTGCTCTGAAACCCGGCTATAACAAAGCAGCACCTACCTTATATGGACACATTTCAATTTTATGACTGTGGTTAAGGTTCCCATATTAGTATTAAAACTCAACTGCGGCAACATGCCTCTTTCATTGTTCTGGCCTGTGTGACAAGCGGACTCTCAATTTTATGTTATGTAACTAACTTCGTATGCGGTATGCGAAACGCGTTATGCGTATGTGCCCAGCTTTGAACTACCCTAATATAGCACTTTACAGTACACTTTCTGCTACTTATGGGTGCTCTTCTGCCCCCTTTTAGCATACCATTTACTACTTAAAGCCCTTTTCTTGAACCATCTAGAAGGCTTTATACATGTACATACACATATATACATGTCCAATCCCCCCCTTGGGGGATATAAAAGTTGTACCTTCTGTACATTGCAATAAAAAGGCTTTTGCCTCTGGGCTCATATTTCAACAAGAGGAACGCGAAACTGCTGAGTTGTTTGGTCGCGCTGAGCGATGTTCACTTGTCACTTGTCACTCATCCCGTCATACGTTGCATGCACACATATACACGCACACCCATCCATTTCCTGATCTTGAGGAAGATGCTATCAACGCTATATACGACCTTTGTGAAGACCAGCATCCAAATGTTTGTCGCTCGCCACACGCTATTCTATCCAATCCCAAGAAAACCTGATTTCCCTCTCCCCGCTTCATCTCCCAGATGCGGATTGAAGGATACAAAGGCATTTTTCGAATGCCAGAGGAGCACCCTAGATGGGTAGAGAGGAATGTGGACGGCTTGGTGCAGTTACTGCAGAGCGGTGGGTGCCACATTCTCCTAGCTTTCTTTTCCCTCCCGACGGAAAAACAATTGCATCTCAATTCATCGATGGTTTCCTCTAACCTCCTTTTTTGTTCCTTTTTCATCAGATGAACCTGCAGAGGTTGCGGTGGTCAAGACTACGATTATCCAGCACCTTGAATTGGACTCCAAGATTACGCTGAGCATCCTCTGCGATCAAATCGTTCCTCCAGACGAACCCATGGAAGACGAGGTCAAGGTCACTCGGGAGCGGCTACGCACGCTAGTCGTGGCGTTCCTCGCGGAAGAGGCGCGGAGGCCCCTCCTGACGAAGGTCAAGGGGACAGCTGCGTGGAGCAAGAACAAGCGCTGATAGACACCCTCCTCAAGGTGAGAGAGATCCGTCGTTCCTGATCAACTTGCTTCTGGCGCTGACGAGAGAGTTACGGGGGTTTCGCGCAGGCGGTGTCCAAATTTGGTGGCGCCGACGCCTCAAAGATTACGAGGGACATTTGGTGTCCCTACCCTCCTTTAAAAGTGGCCGTCCGACTCGACGCGTCAACGAGCTCCTGCAAGTGTTTCTTGCGCAGGCTATGTTTTCGCTCAGGAAGGACCTCGCGCCAAGGCAGATCCCCGCGAGCCTGGAGCAGGCCCGCTTCTACCTCGAACTGTGCGACTTTGTGTGTGCCGCGAAAAGGGGGTATTGGACCCTGTCCAGCTCTTGCGCTTCTACTGTACATCGTCTCTCATGGGGAAAATGACGCTCAGGCGACTTGCAGCCACCAGAAGAGTCCAGAGTCTGCTGATCTCGCCTCATGTGGCGTCAGGTCGTGGACGCATTGACCGTCATCCTCTCATTTTCCATTATTTGCGACGCAGGCTTTCATTCGAATAGCCCCGTCAGATGCGCAAGCATGGCGGTCGTGCTAAACGCTCTTGCGAACGTGTCAGCAGGTTGGTGGACCGTGACCTTACGGGAAAACTGACAGACGTGATCTTTTCTTTTTATTTTCTTTTGCTCGGTGTCAAATTGGAATATTTCTGCTCCCCTCCATTCGGTTCTGGCAGAGATTTCTCACCACGCTGATAAAAGGCTGAACCCGGAGTCAAAACGAGCAGAGGATCTCAGCAGTGTCAGTTCTTTTCTTTTTTGTCCTTGCCTCGCTCACCAGTTGGTTGCTGTTCCTTTCGCTAGTTGTTGACCCACCCAGTCCCCCAAGCATCCTCGCTTCCTCTAAAACAATTGCCGTCGCCACTCCCAATTCCAGATATCCACTTACCTGCTGACATAATCCTGAACAAACGAAAAGCTGAGGAAGAGGAATCAACTGTACCGCAAGAACGGGAGGGAATGCAGAGGCTTTCTATCAGACAACAACACGCATGACTCACCTAGTGCTCCTCTCCCTCCTACCTTTCCACAGAGCCAATCCTTATTCTTCTGAAGACTTGTCAAACGCGCCAATATGCTCCCATGTTTCTAAGAACAGGTCTTCATCAAGGTATCAGTGGCAGTGACCGAAAGTCTTCTCGGAGTAGTACAGAAAGTCAGTATGGGCCCGCACGTCAAAAATGAGAACTATCTCAGAGAGCAAAGCAGACTGTTAGCAGCTAGCCATGCTGACGGGATAGATAGTGTGACAGTCGGTGTGTGAGGAGAGCAGAGACCATGATGACCAGACCATGATGACCACCATCTGGAGACCGATCGCAGTCCTTAGATCGAGTCGCGAAGCAAACCGAATAGAGTACAGTAACTCACTCTACATACGATCAGTCATTGGTACGTTTCTGAGCAATTAAATTTCTTCTTATCAGTCCTCAGAGCGGGGAAAAGGAGACGAGATAGTTTGGTCGCGCTAAGCGACGTTCACCCGTCATCTGTCCCGTCGTACGTCATATACTGTACGCATACACTTCTCAGGCGATGAAACTTTTTCATTCTCCTCGCCACACGCTATCCAAAGAAATTTGGATTTCCTCCCCCCCGCTTCATCTCCTAGATGCGAATAGAAGGATACAGTGCTATCGTTCGAATGTCAGAGGAGCAGCTTAGATGGGTAGAGAGGAATGTGGACGTTCTGGTGTGGCTACTTCAGAGTGGTGAGTGCCACCTTCAAGTTCTACCAGACCTTCTTAGTTTTCTCTTCCCTTCCCGACGGAAATCGACGGTGTCCTCTTCCTTCCTTTTTCCCTTCCCTTTTTTTTTCTGTTTTATCATATGAACTGGTGGTCAAGACTGCGCTTATTCAGCACCTCGAATTGTACTCCAAGATTACGCCGAGCATCCTCTGCGATCAAATCGTTCCCCCAGATGACCCCATGGAAGACGAGGACAAGGTCTCTTGGGAGCGGCTAGGGACGCGTTCCTCGCGGAAGCCGCTAAAGTTACTGGGGACAGGGGACAGCTGCGCGGAGAAAGAACAAGCCCAGATAGACACCCTCTCGACGTGACAGTGATCCGTCATCCCTAATCATTGATCACTCTCTTCTGGCCCTGACAAGAGAGATACGCGTGGGCGATGTCCAAATCTGGCGGCGCCGACGCCTCGAACATCGCGATTCACGAAGGACATTTTGGTGTTTCTCCTTCAACAGTGGCCGACCGACTCGACGGGGCAACGACCTACTGCAAGTATTACTTGCTCATGCCATGTCTTCGCTCAAGGAGGACCTCGCGTTGAGAACGATCCCCACGAGCCGAGGGCGGACCTGCGTCTTCCTCAAACTGTGCGACTTTGTGCGCCGCGAAAAGGGCGTGTCGCACCATGTCGTCCAGCTCTTACACTTCTACTACACGTCGTCTCTCATGAAGAAAATAACAGTTCAGAGTCTGCTGAGCTTGCCTCGATGCTGCGTCAGGTCGCGGATGCGTTGACCGTCATCCTTCCGGTACGTTGGTCCAAGACAGCGTGCTGCTCACCATCATCTTTCACCTCTTTCTTTTGCGATGCAATTTTTCATTCAATAGCCCCATCAGATGCGCAACTGTAGTCGTGTGAAACACTCATGCGAACGTCTCAGCAGGTTGGCGGACCGTGACCTTAACGGAAAACTGACAGACGTGATCTTCCATTTTATTTTGGAGTCCAAGAAGAAGGAAGAGCAAACAAATTAAAACGTTTCTGCCCCCCTGCACTCGGTTCTGGTTGAGATTGCTCACCCCGCTGATGAAAAGCAGAACCCAGAGTCCCAAGGTAGTGCGTCAGCTCCTTTTTTCCTGGCCTTGCTCACCAGTTGTTGTTCGTGTAGCCTGACTAGTCGTTGACCCACCTAAGTTACGTCCCCGCTTCCTGTAAAACCATTGCCTTCCCGCTGACGTAATACTGAACGAACGAAAAGCATAGGAAGAGGAATCAAAGAACGGAAGAGAGCGAAGAGGCCGTCTATCGGGGCATATGTACGGCAATAACGTCAGTGCAAGGATTATTCCTCTTTGCATTCTGTGGGCTCGGGTGCATCTAGCCCTGGAAGCGGAGCGGTCCAGTTGTCTACGACGAAGCGGTTGAAAGCGACCACTGACGAGGAGACATAGTCACTATTGCTGCGCATGGGAAATATGGAGCATCTTTTGCCAGGGCCGCGCGGTCGACAGGCGTCGAAGTCAAAGTCCCCACTGGCGCTCCAAGCTCAGTCCTCGGATTCACTGAGGCATCCACCCGGATGATCCCCCGATTTTTCGCTAGGGCTCAGTATCAATGGTCATAAACGGTCCTACAGCGGAACGCATCTTCATCGTATACAGGACTATGTAGTTGACTGCCATGCACCGATTGCATCCATATCTCTTGCTTTCTTTATAATTCCTTGATGTGTGCCTTCTGTTGCTTCTATGCCACAATCCATCAACTTATTGGTTGAGATTCCGCTTCCACCCCTCAATTCCGCATTTACATCCGAGTGCCAACTCCCGCAAGAACTCCCGGATCCCTTACGTTGCCAATGCGAGCGAGGATGTACATATATCCGATTTTCAAACGCGCGAATAAACTTATATGACTGTGCCAAGGTATGCTATCATCC